TATCCATGTACGTATGTGTAAATCTGTACACACTACTATATACATAGTATATGTGTTGTGAATCGTTCCATCTCCCCGGCCCCCTCTCTCTCTCTATCGTTTTTTTTTGGTCTCTCTGATAAATCTGCATTCCTGCAGTGCAGGGATGCAGATTTATCAGAGAGAGACCCTGCACTCCCGTTCCCAGCGTGCCTTGACGTTCGCCGGGCGGCGTCGCTTCTGAGCGACGTGGTACAACGTCTTCTCGGTGAGCGTCCTCTGGGCGTCGTGGCAGCGCTTCTTGCGCAGGGATGCCTCTGCTGCTGAAGGGGGGGTGGGGGGGCCGGAGATGGGGGGATGAGAAGGAGAAGGAGATATCGCGCCTGGCTCTTCCAGTAGTTGGCGCGGCTGGCGACGTTCCTGAGCTTCACGGCGAGGCGGACCTTCGCGAAGCTCAGCCTGGCAAGATGGTAGGCTCCTCCTCCGCCTCATCATCATCATCAAACATCAACTGTAACAACAACATAACATAGACATCAGTATCACCAACATCATCATCAATCATCTGAATCAGCAGCACCAGCACAAGCACCATCAAATCACTAATCACCACTATCGTCATACCATCATCAGCAGCAGCATAGTCATCATCATCATCATCAGCCCATCCGCATCATCATCATCCGCATCATCATCATCATCATCATCATCACCATCACCATCACCATCATCTCATCATCTGCGTTTAGCCATCATCGACAAAATCATCAGCATCATCAGCAGCGTCACCAGTCACCAGAGTCACCAGTCACCAGTATCATCACAACCGTGCCGTACCATCATCATCATCATCATCAGCATCATCAGCAGCAACAGCTTCAGCTGCGCAGTGCAGCAGCATCACCACCATCATCAGCAGCAACATCAGCACCATTACCAACACCATCACCATCACCATCACAATCACCATGCCACCACCAGCAGCATCATCATCATCACCACCATCACCACCATCATCAGCAGCAGCATCATCATCGTCATTTCAGCCTGGTAACGCTCCTCGCAAGCTGCTGCTGAGGGCGCTGAACCAATCGTTGAACTTGGGCTGCGAACTGCGCGGGCAGGAGCAGCGGCGCTCGCGCCCTGCGAGCGCCGCGAGCGCGGACGGGAGGCCCAGGAGGCTGCGCAGGGGCGGGAGGTGGTGGCCCGCGATCCAGCACGAGTCGTCGACGTGCTGGCGCCTGCGCTTCGGCGGGCCGGAGGAGGGCAGGTAAACGGATATGGATTAGGATTAGGATTAGGATGTTTGATCAAGAAGAATCTTCTTGATCAAGCATCCTGATCCTAATCGAGGATCAAGATCAAGAAGAGTCTTCTTGAAGAAGACTAATCTTGATCTTGTTCCTTGATTCCTTGAAGAAGAAGCTTAAGAAGAAGAGTAAAAGAAGAAGAGGAGGAGAGCAGGAGAGCGAGGGCAGGAGAGCGGAGGAGGCGCGAGGACGACGAAGCGAGGCGAGGTGGAAAAAGTTGGCGACCGAGCAGAGGAGCAGAGGGGAGCGGGGGAGTCCGAGGAAAGTGTGGGGGGGCCGAAATGGGCGCGCACGAAGGTTGGGAACGGTGCCCAACAGCCCAACAGCAACAAAACAACACACGAGCCCCGAACTGCTGCTGGATGTTGCACCCATGGTTTCCGCACCCATTCCGATCGTCCCGAGAAAGAGAAAGGGAGGGAGGGAGGGAGGAACAGGCGACCTGCGCTGGCGGCGCCCGCGATGCTTCGTCCTCCGTCGCCGTCGCCTCGTCCGCCGCGCCCGCCGCCGCGCTGGCCATCTCGCGCAGCTGCCTGGAGGGGCGAGGAGGAGCAGCGCTCGTCTGCATATCGGCATGGACGATATGTAGACGAGCGGCGCGACGAGCGACGACGAACGACTCCTTGACGGATTATCACTCCTTCTCCTCCTCCCCTCCTCCTCCTCCTCCTCCTCCTCCTTCTGTTCTCCTCATCCGCCTCCTCATCCGCCTCGTCCTCCTCAGTCCTCCTCATCGGTTTCCATTCCACGGGTCCTCCTTTGCGAGTCTGAGTCCTGTGGCTCGCATCCAACTCGCCCTCATCCTCGTTCTGGATTTCTGGATGAGGATGAGTCGGGTGCGAGCCGCATCCCGCATCCTCATCATCAGTGTCAGTGTCATCATCATCAGCATCATCATAATAACCATCATCATCATCACAAGCATGATCATCATCACCATCATCACATTAGCATCATCATCATCCTCATCCTCCTCCTCATCATCATCATCATACATCAACATCATCATCATCATCAGCAGCAGCCGCCTCATCATAATCATCAGCATCAGCATGCTCATACTCATCATCATCATAATCAGCAACATCCGCATCATCATAACATCAGAATGAGAATCATCATCATCATCATCCTCATCCTCATCATCCTCATCATCACCATCATCATCATCATCATCGCCATCCTGAAGATCCTGAGGCTGCCGAGGCTGAGGATGAGGAGATGAGTCGGAGATGGGGAACCAGGATGAGGAGCTCAGGAGCGAGGATGGGCTGGAGGGGGCCTGACGATGATGCGCCACTCGTCGAAGGTGACCGAGAGGCCCCCGATCATCTCCAGCGCGCGCCGGACCGCGTCGATGCCCACACCCCCGGGAGGGGAGGAGGGGGGGGGGGCGGGCACGAGAGGGCCAGGAGAGGGGGAGGGCGGGGAGGGCCAGGAGAGGGAGGGCCAGGAGAGGGAGGGAGGGGCAGGAGAGTCTCGGAGAGGAGGGGAGGAGGGAAGGGAGGGGGCCCAGGAGTGCCCCAGGAGGGGGGAGTGTGCGGGTGGGGGGAGTAGGAGGAGGGAGGACGAGAAGGAGCGAGAGCCGCGAGGAGGGGCCTGCGAGGTAAATCGACGATTAGGGTCATCATCATCATCATCATCAGCATCATCATCATCATCAGCAACCTCATCCTCATCCTCATCCGCATCCTCATCCTCATCCTCCTCCTCATCCCCATTCTCATCCTCATCCTCATCCTCATCCTCATCATCCTCATCATCCTCATCATCCTCATCGTCCTCGTCATCCTCGTCATCCTCGTCATCCCCATTCCTTCTACTATCATCCTCGTCCTCATTCGGGTTTTGGGTGGGTCCGCAGCCTGTCCGCAGGGCCGCCGGGAGCCGCTGTCAGCATGCCAGCAATGCGTGGGCGCTCATGATGGGCAGATTGTCCATCAATCACCACTACCATGGGTAGGAAGAAGGGGAAGGGAGGATGGGGAGGACCTCCAATGGCATCTGCCTCCTCACGCTGTCATTGGAGGTCCTCATCCTTCTCCTCCTCCGCTCCTCCGCATCCTTCTCCTCCCTCTCCTCCAGCTCGTCGGCGACGCCGAGACGTCGATGGAAATCCACCCTTGGATCACTTCCTATCCTTAGCCCTTAGGACCCCATCCCTCAGGGACCCAATCCAATATTTGAACCACCGATGGCATGGTAGTGGTGGTGGAAAATCTGCCCATCAGCTCCGCCCGATGAGCGGACGCGGGGAAGCTGGCCAGCAGCGCGTCGCAACATGCCGTGACCGCGGCAAAACGTGCCACGGTCACGGCGCCACTGGACACCCAGCACCCGACGCGAGCGGCCTTCACCAGGATGGCTCTGGCGGTTGCCGCGGCGGCCATGGCCGCGGCACAGGTGTTGACGGAAGGGCCACTGGCCCGATGTAGCCCCTCGCCCAGCCCTCTCCGGCACCACTGACAGGTTGCGTTGTGCACGCAAGATGTCGGGCACCAGAGGGGGTAGAACCTGAGGGCCACATCGGATCGGAAGCGCTTCTGCCAACACTGCTGGCCCAGCGGGGGGCCAAGGGAGCTCGGGCCGAGGGCGCGAACAGCGACGCGCCCACTCGCGCCCCACGCCCCCGCCAATGCGGACATCCTTTCCAGCCAATCTGAATAATAACGATGCGCGGTAAGGAAGCAAGGGCTTGGAAGGCCATGCCGACACGTTGCTGGCGGGGCGCGGCCAGCGAAAGCGGCCAAAGATGTGCCGAAGGAGAAGGATGCAAGGGTAACCTTGGAACGTTGTTCATCCTTACTATGCAATTCACCGTATCTGAAAATGGTCGCCCCGCGGCATGCCGTCCAGGCGAAGCTCCGTTTTCAGAAAGAAACCGCCTCCATGTTGAGTGATCAAAGAGGATATGCAGAACGAGAAAGTACAAGGTTGCGAGAGCAACATATTGAAAAGGTTCCGCGCTGACGCGGTATTATTCGGGCCAACCACGGGGGCAACTTGTGTTCCAGGCGCAGTAGTTGCTGCGGAAGTTATACATATGGACATGCTGCACATACATGGTTTTAGATCATATAATACAGCCAGATGGCTCAACGTGCTTATTCTTTAATAGTTGTCATATCCTAGTTTGCGGTTTCGGTGTATTTTACCAGCGGCGTGTCTCGGGAAACCCGTGTATTTTATGATGCTGATTTCCGAGAATTCGACGTATTTACATTCAATGAGTTCGAAGTGTTCAGCTAGATAATATAATACAATGATTGTTGGCCCGCCGCTATGTTAAAATGTTAATAGCATGTCTCGCGCGTAGTTTTTTCTGTTATACATGCATTTATCGCCATGCCGCTGTCACCCAAGAAAAACACAACATGCTATTTTTGACATTTTTTCGGCCGATCAGACACCTGTTATCACCTGTTTCGGGGCGCGGGGGGGGGGGGTGGTGCGGGTGGGGTGCGGGGGGGGGGGGGGGGGGGGGGGGGGGGGGGGGGGGGGGGGGGGGGGGGGGGGGGGGGGGAGGGGGGGGGGGGGGGGGGGCGCGCGGAGATGTTAAAACAAAGAATAAGCAGAAAAAAACAATCAGTCTATTACCTTCTCATTGGAGGCCGCGAAGAGCCTCCCCCAGGACATCGACGACAGCACTGCTGCGTTGGCGGCGTTGGCTGAACCCGCGCGCGCATCTCCAAGGACGAGCGGCAGGGTGCAATGGCGCCAGCCATCTCTTTGCACATGAAGGGCGGGCGCGCCAGCAGTTCGGGGGCCTCGCAGACTCAGACTCACTTGCACCTGTGCCATTACTTAACAGAGGGGCTTTGGGGGGCCATCATGGATAAGGACAACTCCTGGGAAACGAAGAAGGGGGCGATGGCCGACTTCCTCATGCAGATCGGACTGCGTCACCCGTCGGACCCTGCGGTCAAAGACCTGCTGGCTATCTTGTCGCATTGCCACGGCCGCTCGCTCCAGCCCGGCGAGGCGTGCGACCAGCTCCACAAATTCAAACTGAATATGTCCGCCAAGAGGCTGACCACCTCGGGCCAGATGGCGCTGCTGAGCTACCCCTTGGACCCCAAGGACTTCATGAAACAGTGCCAGAGGGCGCGCGCCGAAGGCGATGGCCCCGTCAAGACGAGGATTGAGCCAATGAAGATCAAGCACATGACACGGAAAGATTTGACGCCTGCGAGGTCCACCAACTTGGCTATCGGGGGGAGGCAGCGGGCCGCGGAGAGCTCGTCGCCCAAGGTTGCCGATCGGAAGGAGCGAAGCGACGACCTCGCGGAGTTGCTGCTGCGCAAGTTGAAGGACGACGGCGGGTCTCCATCTGGCAAGAGGCGCTACGCCTCGAAGGGCCCTGCAGTCGCGGCGTGCCTCGCGATCGCGGACCAGCAGGCCCGCGGGAAGGCGGCGGTCGAGGGGAGGGGGGGGGGGGGGGGGCGACGGGCCGCCTGCAGCCGCAGCCGCGCCCGCTCCAACAGGCATTGCGGCGCCGCGGCTGGCAAGAAGGCGTTGGATAATGCGAAGGGCAAGAGGAAGAAGAAAGGGGGCGACTCCGACGAGGAGAAGGCCTCAGACGACGAGGAGGTCCCCTTGCTGGGTGGCAAGCCCGCCGCGGCGGCTCCACCCCGCAAAAGGCCCTCCGCGGCGCCTGCCTGTAAGAGGCCCTCGGCGGCGCCGAGTGCCGCGGGCAGCAAGAAGGCCAAGGTCTCCGAGACCACGGCGGAGCTCTTGCGGCGCCTCCCGAAGGACTTCTCCAAGAGCTTCTTGAAACGAGAGGTGGCCATGCGGATCTCGCGTGGGGCTTTCACCGCGCGCGGCTACGCGCTCTTCAAGAAGACAGACAAGGTGGCGGCCCCCGCGGCCTACAACGTGGCCGCCCGCTTTTGGGGCCAGGTGCACGGCTGAGTTGGGCACGTGCACTCGTGCGGTCAGCTGGGTGCGCTACATGGACCATATCTGCAATGTCTTGCGTCGGTGCCAACAGCTTCCGAATTTCGCAACATGCACGTTCGAAAACGACATTGGATAATATTGTGTAAAAGTCGGTTGTCGATCATACATGTGCTGTATACGTATGTAGTAGTTAAAGACGCATGCGTAACCTAGATATAACCTGTGCCGTTTTGGACAACATACGTAACTAGTTATAACCAGTTGCAAAAGTTACAGCCAACTTACAACACAACGAACAACAACGCAGCGACGCGCGGCGTGCTGCATGGAGCGGAAGCGCCGGGGCCGGAGCAGCGCAGCATCCGCGGCCTTGTCACTCGCCTCGCCAGCCGCGCCACTGGCCCAGGGCCGGCTGGCCTGCCACCTCGCGCCGGCATATCGGCGCGCCAGCGGCTGATGGTGACCCAGACGACAGCTAAGCCATCGGCGCATGGCGGCCTCCAGCGCCCCCCAAGAAGCTGCTAGGTGACCATCGCGGACGCTGTCCTGGAAGGCCGCCCCGCGCTCCCGGATCACCTCGTCAGAACTTCCCGCCGGGCGTCTGGCCAGCCGTCCGAGGCAGGCCCGCAGAGGGGCATTGGCTTCCGCCACATTGCTGCGTGCTCGGGCGGCTCGACTGCCAGCTCCACCTCCAGCGCTGCATGCGTCGCCAACCCAAGATCCCAGCGCAGGCCAGCAGACGCCACGTGTTCAGCCGCAACCCCATTGGCGAGCACGTGGTCGATCCGGGGCGGGCGGCCCGAGCTCGGTAGGCACGTCGGCCCGGCTGCGGCCAAGATGTCCTGCCAGCCAGCCATGGCCAAGAGGGTCTCCGCGATGGTCTCGCGGAGCTTGAAATCTCCCACAGGAGCGCCGGCGCGTCTCCAAGCGATCGGAGCCAGGCCACCGCGGCGAGGAGCAACGCCTCGTTTTGCACCGCTGCGGCAGCGCCATCAGCGCGGCCATAAACCTGCACGATGCGCAGCGCCCGCTCGCCCCTCAGGTGGAGGACCGCACACTGCAACCGGCAGGCTTGATCCGGGGCCAGGCCGACCATCTCCACGGCGCGGAGGCCGCGCAGGCCCTCCATATGCGCGAAGGCCAGCAGATGGGCGCCCTCGTCAGCGGCCCCGAGCTGCAGGCGGAGTCCGCGGCGCCGAGCTTCTGCGACCACGGCCCACGGCGGCGGCTGCACCCTCGCCGTCGGGCACGCGCGCCTCCTGGATGCAGTGCACGTCGACCCCGGCCGCCAGCAGCCCGCGCCAGCTGGCGCGCCACCTCGTGGCGTTAGCCACGAGGATGCGCGCGCTGCCGCGCCACGGCCAGCCCCGCCATCGAGCCGTGGCATTGCTCCACGTGCCGCCCCCAGCGGCGCCCCCAGCAGCAGCAACGGCAGCAGCAGCAATGTGGCCAGCGGCACCCGGGGGGGTGGGAGGATGGGGCCCTGGGCCGTCTCCCCACTGGGCGGCGCCCACAGCCGAGCCGCCTCCAGCGACCCCAGCAGCAGCGCCGCAGGCAGCCCCCGCGAGAGAGGCGGGCGAGCCCTCCGGGCCGCGCCCGGAGGCGGCCCCAGCAGCAGCGGCGCGGCCGGTGGCCGCAGGGGAAGGGCTAGGATCGGCGACAGCTTCAACCTCTGTGGGATTCGGCCCGCAGTCCTTCTGCCCGCGCGCGCCTGTGTTGCTAGTTGCTACATCTGACACCGCTTGGCCAGGGTGGCCAGCCCGCGTAGAAGCAGAACATGCCGTAGCCGATCGTGACGCCGCACCCTCTGCTGCCAGCTTCCCCAGCGCCGGCTCAGGGCGGCCCGCGGCGGAACCCTTGGCGGGGGGGCCCAGCACGCCCCCCGGGCCGCCTGCGGCGGCGCCTCTGGCGGAAGCGCCCAGCACGCCCCAGCCGCCCGCGGCCGCCCCCGGCGCGCTGGCTCGCACGGAGGCGCCAGCTGCGCGGACGAAATCGCCCACGCAGGAGCCGCCTCCAGCGACCCCAGCAGCAGCGTCGCAGGCGGCCCCCGCGAGGGAGGCGGGCGAGCCCTCCGGGCCCCCGGCGGCGCCTCCAGCAGCAGCGCGGCCAGCGGCCCCCTGGTGACGGGTGGGCGAACCCCACGGGTCGCCACCAAAGCCCCCAGCAGCAGCAGCGTCGCAAGTTGCTCTCAAGCGCGCGCCGCCCCGCCCCGCTCGGCGCTCCGCGAGCGGCCCCGCCTGCTTGGGGAGGGCGGCGTGGAGGCAGGCCGCTGGCGGTCCACGCATTGCCGGAGCGTGGCCCGCCGCCTGGCCCCCGCTAGCGTGGCGGGCGCCTGACACCTCGCGCCGCGATCTGGGCGCGTCCCCGCGCTGCGCAGCACCAGCGGCTGCGCTCTCTGGCGGCGCAGCGCTCGGAGCTGCTGCGGCAGCGGCGCCTGCGACGCCGGCATCGCCGCCTCCCGGCGGCGGCGGGGCGCCAGGACCTGCGGGGGCACCAGCGCCTGGGGTGCCAGCGACGCCGGCGGCGGCAGGCGCGGAGGCGGCGGCGCCTCCCTGGGCCCCCGCCGCACCAGCGGCATGAGCCTCCGCAGCGGCCCCATGCGCCGCCGCGGCGACCAGCGCGCGAAGCTGCTCGACGAGCGCCGCGGCGTTGCCGCCGCCTCCGACGCCGCCTCCGCGCTGCTGCAACACCGAGGTGGCAGCTGAGAGGGCGTCGAAAGTCGCCGCGACGCCGGCCTCGAACAGGTCCAACGCTGCCGGCGGTGCGCGGGCCGGGGCCGCCTCCGCCCGAACGGCCAGCAGCGCGGCGTCGGCCTGCTGCAAAACCAACTCCGCCTTGGCCGCCTGCCTCGGCCTCGAAGTGCGCGAGCGCACGCTGGGCTTCCGCCAGGTCCTCGCGGGCCGCTCGCAGCTTGGTCGTCGCCGCCCGCTGCGAGTCCGCGGCAGCCTGCGCCCGGACTGCCCGCGGGCGCGAGGCCTGGGCAGCATGCTCCAAGGCCTGGAGCTGGCGGCCGCATTCCGCCAAGTCCGCCGCTGCCCCATAGCGCTGGGCGGCCGTCCGGCGATCGCGCCAGCACCTGAGCCCCCGCCGCGCAGGACTCAGGTCGGCGGCAGGCGGGCCCTGCTGCGATCCACCTGCGGGGGGCGGCTGCATGGAACATCGCCAGGCGCTGCAACGCCACCAGGCGGGGGCAGCAAGCGTTTCGCGGCTTCCGCGTACGACTCCGCCCCAGCCGCCCCGGCCGCCCCGCCACCGCCACGGCGCTGCTTGCCACGCGGCGCGTCCGGCTTCGCCGTCCGCGCGCGCGTCTGCCACTCCTTCGCCGCCGCCCGCGCAGCGTTGGCGATCCGCTGCGGCGCAGCCCAGTCGCAGCGCTGGCAGCGCGCGCGGCAGGCCCAGTTTTCCGCGCGCCCGCACTGACAGCCCCAGCATGGCTCCCGTGCCCCTGGGAGCACCGCTGGGCCCACCTGCTGGCTGCTGGGCGACACCCTGCCGGCAGCCTGCCCGCGCCCGCCGCCGCGGCCGCTGCTCCTGCCCAGCTGGCTTGACAACGGTTTACTTGAACCAAAATGGCTTGAGCCAAAATGGCTACGGACGTCCACAGTTTCCCGCGCATGTCCACTACTTCACGCGCGGTATCAGATAGCAGACTTGAAACCATGCTTACAATTTAGCGGAACCGAATAGCTCTGAACTCGGCTAATTAATTCGCAACCGCTCGGTTCAGTCAGCGCAACTGAACGCAACTGTAAGATCACTTTCCTGGCCGAAAACACAAGTGAATCCAACTGAAGCTAACCGAACCTAAGTGGAAGCTAACCAAACCTAAGTGAATGTGAACCCTTCACGTCGGCGGCGTTGCGCCGACGTCTTGAACCGATGCGGCTCTTCATGGGGCCATCTCCGGGAGCCGTCTTGGACACGTCTTGGGTTGCCCCCCCCCCCTCCCCCGCTGCAGCCGCCCGTGCCCCCCCCCCCCCGTCGCGTTCCCCATCCTCCTTTCCCTCCCCCCGCTGCAGCCGCCCATGCCCCCCCGCGCCTCCCCCCATTTCCCCCGCGGTCTAGTCTTCGCGGGGGCAAGGTGTCGCAAGGCGCGCCCGTGGACGAGCGACAGACGAGCGATAGACGAGCGAGCGATAGACGAGCGATAACCAGGGCGGTCTATCGCTCGTCTATCGCTCGTCTATCGCTCGTCGATCGCCCTTCTCCCCGCGCTAAATAAACCGCTCGGTGTTTTTTTTGGCCCAGATTTCCGACGAAGGCCGCGGCTGGATCTAGCCGAGGAAGTTGGAAGAACGCCTGGCCTGCCAGATTTCTCTCAATTCCCCTCCCCCCCCCTTCCCCTGCCCCCGGCGCAGCCGCCCCTGCCCCCGCTGCGGCCGCCTTGCCCGCCCATGCCCCCCGCCCCCGCGCCCCGCCCCTGATCCCAGGGGCTCGCCGCTACGGCGGGGAGCCCGCGCAATACTAACTAATTGAGAGCAACCGCAAAGCCATCTAAAGCTAAGTGAAGCTATCTCAGGCTAAGTGTTGACAAGAAACCAGAGCCGAAATGATTAACCATACCTAATTGAACTTTTCGCCGCGCTATGTGGTCAACAACTGGATAGAACCAGGTGCGCCAACAGTTATAAATCGGATCGCATGCCTGGCAATTACATCGATTCAATTGGTACGTGAATTTTGCTTATGACTGCTTCCGCCCCAGCTGCTCGGTTTATGAATGCGCTTGCCAAACTTATCACTGCGCTCGCTGGGCTTACAAGCATGCTTATAAATATGCTACGTGCGGCCGCGCGTGAAGCAAGCAATCCGTCAACCTTCTGGCCGGACGACCAACGCGGCCCCTCGTGCTCTGAATGCGGCCGGGGTTCCAGAGCAGCACTTCGCATGGAAATTTATGCGCGTCCCTGGGCGCGAGCTCCCGAGCAAACTTCCACTTTCGAGTGCGGAACTGCGCAATCCAATCAGACACGCCCATATCCCGCAATCATTGCTCGACGTCTCGCGTTGCA